ATCAGTAGTCAAATAATTTCAACAATCGATTAACAAATAAAATATGATATTCTGTATTGGCATGGTACTAAAGTAATGATCCCGGGCATACACTCTAAAACTATTGTAAATGAAAATAAAAATGTATAGAATTATTGAAAAGTGCTACCAAAAAATGACAGCTACTAAAAGAATCTTAACATAACAGCACAAAACATAATGAAGAAAATTAATGTTAAGAAAGTAAACTAACAGCAATATATATGAAGTTAAATCAATTCATGACAGCAGGATAAACTCTTCTAAATGTATTTTCATTGCTGGATATTTATTCATGCAGTTTCACAACGACAATAGGATGTTGTTGATCGTAAGTTGTCTCGAAGCAACAAAGGAGCCTCAAGTTTTACGCAGATACACGAGCCGCAAATCTGCCATAAATACAACATGTGTCACAGCATCGCACAGAATATCCTTTCAAATCTCCGCCATAGTTGGTGGGACCAGACTTTGTGTTTGTTTTTGTGAAGTGGTGAAGTGTGAAGTGGTTTTCATATCGGAACTCTACCATGAACGCCATTTTCACACCTTGTCTGTTCAATTTCCGCTTCCTCTTTGAATGTCCTTTGTCATTGTTCTCTTAGGGCACACTCACATTGACTAAGTCTGGCTATTGGGAAAAAGGCTTCATAGATCGGTTTCAGAACCAGTGTTGGCGGGTCCCGGCTTGAAAGTGGCCAAAATGACGTGCGCTGACATGCTTGCAATACCACCCCGGGCCGATGGGGGTGGACCCGGGATAAGAATTAGCCAACGCTAACATATAACATCTTCAGACCTCTCGAAAACACCTTTACAGGATGGTCCAAAAGTTGGCTTGTGGCCCAAAGCTCCGTTCCACATGTGTGTCAATGCTGAGGGGAGTGAATTTTTTTGGACCAGTCTAGTTTACTCGCTGTGAATTTTGGAAGTCACTTGTTTAAATGAATGGGGCTCGTGCCTGCTGACGCATGCGTTTTTTTCACATTTTCCAGCCCCCCGGCCATTTTGAATCACTCCATGAGAGCCCAATTTTTGGCCCATTAGTTAGAACAGCGGAGATAGGCGTGACTACGTCCGTTGATATATACATTCTATGTTCCGAACTTGTAAACTGACTTAACCCTTTAAGCGCCAAAGTCGCAATATTGCGACAAGCAACATTGCTCACTTAAACAGGCTGTATCTAAAAATGTGGTGCAGAATCTTGTTAATACTTTTCACCAGGGGTTAGTGGACATGTGTGCCTGTAATATGAGCAGCATTTGTGGGTGTGGTTATATTGAAAGTTTTTGAGTAAATTGAGTTCGTAAAACACCTGCGGCGCAGCGGCGCGGAGGCGAAGCAGCTGCGGTAGAGCTGAGGAGCGAGAGCAGAGCAGAGGGAGAGAGGGTTTTTTACTTTACTCACGAGGTCTTCAGTACCAGAGAAGTACTTGGTCTGGTACTGGCTCACTCAGATTCAGAGGAGGAAGACACGCAGGTGTCCAGTGAAGCAGACACGGACATTATTAGTGACGGGGAGACAGCGCTCCATAGTCCACAATCAGCCCCTGTGCAGCGGCTGCTTGTCCTCCGTGTGGCCGCGGTAGAAGCATTCTGTGAACGCCAAGCAGGGTCCGTGGTGGAGGGGACAGGGGGATCATAACACCGGGCATGTGGGAGAAAGTAGTGGGGGTAGACATCCACGGGGAACACGGGAGACGCGGGAGAAGTCGCAGGGGAGCCGCGGGAAAAAAACACATCGCTAATCGCGTTCACTGCCTTTACCAACAGCAATGATGAGGATGAAGACAGTTCTTGAGAGAAAATAATCCACAAAAGTGGATCAGAAGTGTTGAAAAGCCTGTTGTATGTTGTTGAGACAATCTGACAAGTTCTGAGCCCATTCATTTCATCTCTCTGTTTCTAAACGGTAAAACCTGGAGCCTCATTTCCACTGAGAAAAATAGTAAGCCCACTACTTCTCTGAAAGGGAAATATTGAAACCAATCTCAAGATTTCATGACTGTAAACTATAAAGAGTGCTGTCTTGATCACTGAAGGTCTTTGAAGATAATACAATTCCATATGGCCGCAAACTAGTTCTAAAACATTATCTATAATCTGGATCAGGGAATTTATTTCTATCCCAAATTCATTTCATACTAAAGATATTTCATATTGACTGTTTATAGTATTCCCTGATCTCAAATAACTCCCAAGCTACAGCTTTTTGAAGTCTTTATACAATAATTAACATTTCCCAAAATGGCCGCCACCTTGATGACGTTACAATATGCAAATTGATGACGAATCAACTTCCATCCCAAAGTTTGGTTCAAACTGAAGATATTTCTAATTTACAGTATGCCTTTATCTCAAACCATTTTAAAGTTATAGCCTTTTGAAATCTTGAAATCAAAATTGTATATTTTCTTGAAAAAAACTCTGGCGCCTAAAGGGTTAAGAGACTTATGAAGACATGCTCAATTCTTTGGTGTTTTTATTTTTTCCAGAAAGTGAGCCAGAATCAGTGCGGTGAAAGTGAACCGAACCAACAAATGTAAACGCTTCCTAAGAGTACATTTTTTATTGTGGACCACTCCTGTTCCACTCAATTTTCTGCAATAACCTTGAGAGTCTGAAATACTTTGGTGCTTTTCCACCCTGATAAATAAAACAGAATAAATAAAAAGCAAGAGCGTTACTCTGGAATAGGAAGGTGAAGATTGATTTTGGTGGTTTGGTGGTCAGACCTAAAGACTACAATCCTCCAGCCTCACTCAGAGCCACCTGACTGAATCCAATGCACTAGAAATCTCTGTCCCCATAGACCACTGTGTAAAAACAACACATCTGGTAAAGTTAAAGAAACTGGGTCACACATCTGCCATTTATACCTTCCCTCACAAGTCAACAATCCAATAAGCAACACACAACCCTCTATAAATTAAAATTAAATGGTGTAATTCTATAATACTCTACTGTTCCAAGCGCAATATTGTATTTGGCTTCACTGTTGTTTTAGGGTTCTAAACACTTTCTTACCAATAATAGTATATGCTATCTGCAAGCCAAAGACAATATACACTGCCAGGAGTAAAACAGGGAGCTGCAGAGGAACTCAAAGTGCACAATGTTTTATCTCACAGGGCAGTTAGTCCCACACAAATAACAACTTACAGTATACAGTATGAGAGGGCACTATTTGCAACCCTTTAAGCTACAGTATAGTGCTGGGAGATGTACTGTATTGGTCCAGTATTTAACAACCACACACAAATTCCTGGTCTGTAATGGTCTGTGAGCATTTTAAGGTTTTGTGACGAGTGACTATAGAGCTGGGGTATCTAAGTTTTGTTCCTTACTCTCAAAACAGTTTGGTTCCATCACTTGTTATCACATGCATGGGTTTCTGGCCTTAAAAAGAGAGGACCCTCACTCAGCCAATCAGCTCAAAGGGTCAATAGTGACTCACAGGGCTCTTTTTCTTACAAGTATGCTAATGATAGCTATTTTTGTTATACAGTAGGATATTGTCTAGGAAAAGAAGTTCAGCTCTGTTTTAGTTTTCTCTCCTCCAGGTTTGTTGTTGGGAGCGCTGATCAATAAACCAGAAAGAGAGAAATGTTTATGCACCAGCAGGCATTTATTGTATAGATCACAAATAAAGTTTTGTGGCCACGGGCCTAGTACAGAGTCAAACCAAGTAGTTTTCCTTGGTGCTTGCATCCTGAGGCGGACCTTCATCAGTTTCTCAGCTTCTTTTTTTCACTGCCAATGGGTGGGCTGCATCCCCACAATGAAATATTTTCTGCCTAACTGTCCCCTTTCCACACAGTAAAAATTCACTGTCCATGGAAGATGCTGTTCTGTATTTATGCTATGTCGTTCATTTCCAGTAATGAGAGTGTTGTTCACAGAATATGTCTAAATGTCAAACTTACATTCACGTGTGATTGTAAGCATGCCTGCGCCTATTATCTTAAAGGAATAGGCCACCGTTTTTACATACTGACGTATGTTCTTACCTTACCTTAGACTAGTTGATATGTACCTGTCTGGTCTTTGTCCGTGCGCTCTGTCATGCAAACGGAGCAAAAACGCAGCCTCTTCTACATACTGTATAGTTCCAAATCAGCCCCCCTTTAGAAGCTACCAAACTCTTCCACGTGTTCCCTATTTAAATAGAGTTACGTGACGTGTTACACTACAAAGTATAGTAACACAGAAATGTAACATGTCGATTTTCTCAGCGGATAAAAAGGGGTACTATATTGTGAGGCATAATAATACGAGAAGCACTACATCCGCGCACAAACTCTTGAAGACTTCTCTCCCGCTCACTTCCGTCAATAGAAGCAGCGTGACGTGTAGTACGTACAGGAGTTGCAGAGAGTTATCGGATAGCTAGTTTGAGTACAGTTGAGGCAGCGTCAAGTTTTCGTGAGATAACTGAAAGGAATAATTTACGATGGCGGACTTTGTTGTTGAGGAAGAATGGTTTACAGCGGATCCAGAGCCATATCTTTTTGAGCCTGAATATACAGAGGAGGAACAACACACAAACGACAGCTGACTGGAGCCATCGAAGAAAGAACACGGGCCAATATCAACTGGTGGTGCAAATGTGACTGCTTCTATTGACGGAAGTGAGCGGGAGAGAAGTCTTCAGGAGTTAGTGCGCGGACGTAGTGCTCCTCGTACTATTACGCCTCACAATATAGTACCCCTATTTATCCGCTACAGCAGACGACGTGGGGCTTTTGCAGTGAGTCGCCTATCTAGCGCTCCTATTGACGATGTGGACGGTGGCACGGCCTGTGGACAGCGGGTACGCCTGTGACGATAGTGGCCACGAGGCGTGTGGAGAGGGCGGCGCGGGACGGGGCGGAGGGCCTCGGGGTATTGTGGACTCGAGACTCCCTGGCTAAATGGCAGGAAGGTGCCGGCAGGTCAGCCAGCCATGGTGATTTTCGCGCTCTGGGTGCGGGTCAGAAGATGAGCTATGCGCTAGGTAAGTGGCCGTCACCGCGCGGCGCCGGGGGGGGGGACCCGCGACCCGGGGGCACACGTGTGACCAGATCCACAGGGGAGTTGCGACAGGCTTATAGAGGAACGGCGCAGCCACCCGATCGACCGGACTGTGACTCAGCCCGTATGGTGCCAGGGCATACCATAGGAAGCCCATGATTTCGCCTACAGGGGGGTCCTATTCCCGGGGGGGGGGCTTCCCAGGGGAGGGCATAAGGGGGCTCGGAGTAAATACTTCATGCACCTAGGTAATAGAGAGCGGCGGGGGTAGCAAGGTGACCTCGAGCTGTGGGGCACAACTCCGAAGTGTCCAGTGGTATCGCGGGGAACCCGGGGGAGTGCGCCCAGGGGGCCATACAGGCTTGGTGGCCGCGTTGGCCAAGTTCACCCCGAGTCGTGGCGGGGTAGGGTTTACCGTCCGGGTGCTCCGAACAGACGGGCGGGGGGGGGGGGAACGAGGAAAAGTAAATGTAAAAGGAGTGAACAGAAGTGGTCGCGGTTCGACGGGTGGGGGGAATAGGAGCAAGAGGACGGTGAAAGGGGCAGAGACGGGGGGCGGAGCCGGCCCAGGAGAGCGGGGTGCGCGTCGGGAGGCCGAGAGACTGAGCGCAAGCGGGTGGTGGGGGGGATTCAAGGGGCGGGCCGCCGCGGGGGGGTCGCGGGGGGGTGGGGGGGGGTCTGACCCCAGCCCAGCTCGTGGCTGTCCAGCAGTCCGGCGGCGGTGGGGCGTCACTCCCGGGATCGGCGTCCGGGCTGGGGGTGGGTGGGGGTGCCCGTGTGGGCAGATCCCGCGGACCGGGAGTCCGAACCCCCAGGACCTTCTTAGACTTTAGCAGCCGGAGGAAAACAGAATGTACAAAATCACTAATCGCAAAACAGGCAGGGAACAGTAAGTAAGCAGTCATAGTGTATCCACTGGAATAGGCCACCGTTTTTACATACTGACATACTGTATGTTCTTACCTTACCTTAGACTAGTTGATATGTACCTGTCTGGTCTTTGTCCGTGCGCTCTGTCATGCAAACGGAGCACAAATGCAGCCTCTTCCACATTCTGTATAGTTCCAAATCAACTCCCGTTAGAAGCTACCAAACTCTTCCACGTGTTCCCTATTTAAATACAGTTACGTGACGTGTTACACTACAAAGTATAGTAACACAGAAATGTAACATGTCGATTTTCTCAGCGGATAAATAGGGGTACTATATTGTGAGGCGTAATAGTACGAGGAGCACTACGTCCGCGCACTAACTCCTGAAGACTTCTCTCCCGCTCACTTCCGTCAATAGAAGCAGTCACATTTGCACCACCAGTTGATATTGGCCCGTGTTCTTTCTTCGATGGCTCCAGTCAGCTGTCGTTTGTGTGTTGTTCCTCCTCTGTATATTCAGGCTCAAAAAGATATGGCTCTGGATCCGCTGTAAACCATTCTTCCTCAACAACAAAGTCCGCCATCGTAAATTATTCCTTTCAGTTATCTCACGAAAACTTGACGCTGCCTCAACTGTACTCAAACTAGCTATCCGATAACTCTCTGCAACTCCTGTACGTACTACACGTCACGCTGCTTCTATTGACGGAAGTGAGCGGGAGAGAAGTCTTCAAGAGTTTGTGCGCGGATGTAGTGCTTCTCGTATTATTATGCCTCACAATATAGTACCCCTTTTTATCCGCTGAGAAAATCGACATGTTACATTTCTGTGTTACTATACTTTGTAGTGTAACACGTCACGTAACTCTATTTAAATAGGGAACACGTGGAAGAGTTTTGGTAGCTTCTAAAGGGGGCTGATTTGGAACTATACAGTATGTAGAAGAGGCTGCGTTTTTGCTCCGTTTGCATGACAGAGCGCACGGACAAAGACCAGACAGGTACATATCAACTAGTCTAAGGTAAGGTAAGAACATACGTCAGTATGTAAAAACGGTGGCCTATTCCTTTAAGATAATAGGCGCAGGCATGCTTACAATCACACGTGAATGTAAGTTTGACATTTAGACATATTCTGTGAACAACACTCTCATTACTGGAAATGAACGACATAGCATAAATACAGAACAGCATCTCCATGGACAGTGAATTTTTACTGTGTGGAAAGGGGACAGTTAGGCAGAAAATATTTCATTGTGGGGATGCAGCCCACCCATTGGCAGTGAAAAAAAGAAGCTGAGAAACTGATGAAGGTCCGCCTCAGGATGCAAGCACCAAGGAAAACTACTTGGTTTGACTCTGTACTAGGCCCGTGGCCACAAAAACTTTATTTGTGATCTATACAATAAATGCCTGCTGGTGCATAAACATTTCTCTCTTTCTGGTTTATTGATCAGCGCTCCCAACAACAAACCTGGAGGAGAGAAAACTAAAACAGAGCTGAACTTCTTTTCCTAGACAATATCCTACTGTATAACAAAAATAGCTATCATTAGCATACTTGTAAGAAAAAGAGCCCTGTGAGTCACTATTGACCCTTTGAGCTGATTGGCTGAGTGAGGGTCCTCTCTTTTTAAGGCCAGAAAACCCATGCATGTGATAACAAGTGATGGAACCAAACTGTTTTGAGAGTAAGGAACAAAACTTAGATACCCCAGCTCTATAGTCACTCGTCACAAAACCTTAAAATGCTCACAGACCATTACAGACCAGGAATTTGTGTGTGGTTGTTAAATACTGGACCAATACAGTACATCTCCCAGCACTATACTGTAGCTTAAAGGGTTGCAAATAGTGCCCTCTCATACTGTATACTGTAAGTTGTTATTTGTGTGGGACTAACTGCCCTGTGAGATAAAACATTGTGCACTTTGAGTTCCTCTGCAGCTCCCTGTTTTACTCCTGGCAGTGTATATTGTCTTTGGCTTGCAGATAGCATATACTATTATTGGTAAGAAAGTGTTTAGAACCCTAAAACAACAGTGAAGCCAAATACAATATTGCGCTTGGAACAGTAGAGTATTATAGAATTACACCATTTAATTTTAATTTATAGAGGGTTGTGTGTTGCTTATTGGATTGTTGACTTGTGAGGGAAGGTATAAATGGCAGATGTGTGACCCAGTTTCTTTAACTTTACCAGATGTGTTTGTTTTTACACAGTGGTCTATGGGGACAGAGATTTCTAGTGCATTGGATTCAGTCAGGTGGCTCTGAGTGAGGCTGGAGGATTGTAGTCTTTAGGTCTGACCACCAAACCACCAAAATCAATCTTCACCTTCCTATTCCAGAGTAACGCTCTTGCTTTTTATTTATTCTGTTTTATTTATCAGGGTGGAAAAGCACCAAAGTATTTCAGACTCTCAAGGTTATTGCAGAAAATTGAGTGGAACAGGAGTGGTCCACAATAAAAAATGTACTCTTAGGAAGCGTTTACATTTGTTGGTTCGGTTCACTTTCACCGCACTGATTCTGGCTCACTTTCTGGAAAAAATAAAAACACCAAAGAATTGAGCATGTCTTCATAAGTCTCTTAAACCCTTTAGGCGCCAGAGTTTTTTTTCAAGAAAATATACAATTTTTGATTTCAAGATTTCAAAAGGCTATAACTTTAAAATGGTTTGAGATAAAGGCATACTGTAAATTAGAAATATCTTCAGTTTGAACCAAACTTTGGGATGGAAGTTGATTCGTCATCAATTTGCATATTGTAACGTCATCAAGGTGGCGGCCATTTTGGGAAATGTTAATTATTGTATAAAGACTTCAAAAAGCTGTAGCTTGGGAGTTATTTGAGATCAGGGAATACTATAAACAGTCAATATGAAATATCTTTAGTATGAAATGAATTTGGGATAGAAATAAATTCCCTGATCCAGATTATAGATAATGTTTTAGAACTAGTTTGCGGCCATATGGAATTGTATTATCTTCAAAGACCTTCAGTGATCAAGACAGCACTCTTTATAGTTTACAGTCATGAAATCTTGAGATTGGTTTCAATATTTCCCTTTCAGAGAAGTAGTGGGCTTACTATTTTTCTCAGTGGAAATGAGGCTCCAGGTTTTACCGTTTAGAAACAGAGAGATGAAATGAATGGGCTCAGAACTTGTCAGATTGTCTCAACAACATACAACAGGCTTTTCAACACTTCTGATCCACTTTTGTGGGATTATTTTCTCTCAAGAACTGTCTTCATCCTCATCATTGCTGTTGGTAAAGGCAGTGAACGCGATTAGCGATGTGTTTTTTTCCCGCGGCTCTCCCGCGACTTCTCCGCGTCTCCCGTGTTCCCCGTGGATGTCTACCCCCACTACTTTCTCCCACATGCCCGGTGTTATGATCCCCCTGTCCCCTCCACCACGGCCCCTGCTTGGCGTTCACAGAATGCTTCTACCGCGGCCACACGGAGGACAAGCAGCCGCTGTACAGGGGCTGATTGTGGACTATATGGCGCGGTCTCCCCGTCACTAATAATGTCCGTGTCTGCTTCACTGGACACCTGTGTGTCCTCCTCCTCTGAATCTGAGTGAGCCAGTACCAGACCAAGTACTTCTCTGGTACTGAAGACCTCGTGAGTAAAGTAAAAAACCCTCTCTCCCTCTGCTCTGCTCTTGCTCCTCTCAGCTCTACCGCTGCTGCTTCGCCTCCGCGCCGCTGCGCCGCAGGTGTTTTACGAACTCAATTTACTCAAAAACTTTCAATATAACCACACCCACAAATGTTGCTCATATTACAGGCACACATGTCCACTAACCCCTGGTGAAAAGTATTAACAAGATTCTGCACCACATTTTTAGATACAGCCTGTTTAAGTGAGCAATGTTGCTTGTCGCAATATTGCGACTTTGGCGCTTAAAGGGTTAAGTCAGTTTACAAGTTCGGAACATAGAATGTATATATCAACGGACGTAGTCACGCCTATCTCCGCTGTTCTAACTAATGGGCCAAAAATTGGGCTCTCATGGAGTGATTCAAAATGGCCGGGGGGCTGGAAAATGTGAAAAAAACGCATGCGTCAGCAGGCACGAGCCCCATTCATTTAAACAAGTGACTTCCAAAATTCACAGCGAGTAAACTAGACTGGTCCAAAAAAATTCACTCCCCTCAGCATTGACACACATGTGGAACGGAGCTTTGGGCCACAAGCCAACTTTTGGACCATCCTGTAAAGGTGTTTTCGAGAGGTCTGAAGATGTTATATGTTAGCGTTGGCTAATTCTTATCCCGGGTCCACCCCCATCGGCCCGGGGTGGTATTGCAAGCATGTCAGCGCACGTCATTTTGGCCACTTTCAAGCCGGGACCCGCCAACACTGGTTCTGAAACCGATCTATGAAGCCTTTTTCCCAATAGCCAGACTTAGTCAATGTGAGTGTGCCCTAAGAGAACAATGACAAAGGACATTCAAAGAGGAAGCGGAAATTGAACAGACAAGGTGTGAAAATGGCGTTCATGGTAGAGTTCCGATATGAAAACCACTTCACACTTCACCACTTCACAAAAACAAACACAAAGTCTGGTCCCACCAACTATGGCGGAGATTTGAAAGGATATTCTGTGCGATGCTGTGACACATGTTGTATTTATGGCAGATTTGCGGCTCGTGTATCTGCGTAAAACTTGAGGCTCCTTTGTTGCTTCGAGACAACTTACGATCAACAACATCCTATTGTCGTTGTGAAACTGCATGAATAAATATCCAGCAATGAAAATACATTTAGAAGAGTTTATCCTGCTGTCATGAATTGATTTAACTTCATATATATTGCTGTTAGTTTACTTTCTTAACATTAATTTTCTTCATTATGTTTTGTGCTGTTATGTTAAGATTCTTTTAGTAGCTGTCATTTTTTGGTAGCACTTTTCAATAATTCTATACATTTTTATTTTCATTTACAA